GAAGCTTGACCTAAGGACGCCGAGTTATTATTTTTCAGCTAACTGGTTTGGCATGATTTACAGAGGTAACGGCAGCAGGTGAAGTTTAAACAAACACTTTCTCGCACTAGTGGAAGACAAACAATCGCAGTATTGCTTGGATCCGCGGCACGTGCAATGAAAGGTCATGTTGAGCGTGTGCTGTTAAGTATCCTGTTGCCAGGAGTCACTGTTCACCGCTTGGAAAAGTTAATTTAAAGAAATCCTGAAAAAAAAAACACCTGTTGGCTCCTGTGATCTTTATCTGATAACAGCGATGCATGACGAGGGCGTTTTGCAGTTAACCGAAAATCCCTAACGTTCTTTGGCACTTCTGATTTACTTTTCTCTTTGACTGAACGTGAATTAAATCGTTGCTCTAAACAAAATCAGCATAACCCAGCTCTCTTTCTTACCCATATAGGATGACAGCAGACTGGCAACCACGAAAAGACGACGATACATCCCTAAAGGACAAAAGACTTTCCCCCTCAATTACTGAAGAACCAAATTAAATGTTTCGGAAGTTATCATTCTCTCTGCAGACACCAGAAGCCTTTCAGATCAGTGTGATTAGAAACACTGACTGACACTCACAACCTCAGACTTTTGATCTTGGTTTGGCTGTGGGCGGTGCCGCAGTTACGCTGTTTCTCACCTGCTGACACACTGACGCTTCAACACCAACAAAAAAAAGAAGAAAAAAGGTGGTGCTCCTGACCTCTCCAGGGGTCGCCATCTGGTGTTAAAAATGAAACATTACACTCGATTTACACAGACAGTAAATGGGCTGATGGTGCTTCATCGACGTGTCAACTCTCCAGCTCCATAGTTTGATTCGTGGAGTCTGCCATAGTATATAGTTTACTTATCTTTGTCGAAGCCCTGTGTATTACTTTAGTTATTATTAGGTCTGAGGCAGTTTCAGGCTGAATTACAGAGCAAGTAAAGCACGTCGTTTTTGCAAAACCTCAATGCAATTTTGCACTGATAAAGAGGGTGTTTGTAGGGTGTTTCTGTTCTTATAGAGAGAGACTGTACGAGTCCAGTTTCACGTTTATGTACAAAAACGTGTTGATTTAACCCAAATAAAATATATATTTTAAAAGAACGTTATTAAATCGATTTATTTTACAGCCTTCAAACAAATTTGTCAAAATATGAAAATGATGAAATCAAAGACCACAGTGTGTGTGTGTGTGTGTGTGTGTGTGTGTGTGTGTGAGAGAGAGAGAGAGAGAGAGAGAGAGAGAGAGCGTTATAGAGAAAAGTGACACCACAAATGCCATATCAGTGAAAGTGCACGGTAACGCTGAGACACGAGGTTTTATATATCTGTTGCTATATATTTACATATACATGGCATCTGCAAACAAAGTTTTGCTTAAAATACTGAGCCATATTATCGTCGTCACAATTTCCTGGTTTTAGACAGGAAGCTCACTCGGCTGATCGCACGTGACAGTGTAAACAAACAACAGAGCTCTTGCGCAGCAAGTCGTAGACTTTTGTTCTCTTTGAGGTAAGTCTTCCTCTTAAATACTTTTGATTATTCTCATCAGAACTGTTATAGAAGTAAAACAGCTTACAGTGTCAAAGGTTTTAACGTTTATGTGCAATTATATAAATATATCGTAACAAATAATACAAAGAA